TACCACATTCTTAAAGGACTTAATCTTTTCAAACACTGCCACTTCTACAGTCACTGAATTCCATGTGTTTATCCCCCTTGTTTGAAAACACTTGCAATCAATGTTTGGAATTCTTTTAGCCTTTTGAAACTTCATGGGTGCCCCTCTTATTTGAGTCTATTGAAATTTGGTGAACAAGTTTATTTATTTTCTATATTTTCTATGTCTTTCATGAGTTCATAGCATTTGCTTATTTCTTCAAAGCTTTTCTCTTTCCATACTTGAATCCATACCCTTTGCACTTGTGCTCAAATGTAGGTTCCTCTTAATAATTTAGTTTGCCTTTTCTGATGTGTCCTCCACATGTCCTTCCTTAAGTGGTGGGATGAAATCACACACATTCCTACATTCCTGCAAGTGCTGACCCATCTCCGTGTTGTACAGATAGATGAAACCGAACTTTTAATATCCAGAACCAATGAAAGGCTCTTTTACATGCTAAGTTTTAGAGGTATAAATTTTTCTTCTATACTTTTTTCTTGTATTGTACTTTTTAACCAATTGAAATATGCATAAAAGGAACACGAGGGCAGCCTCTATCAAAGGAACTGAGAAGCTGTGCCCAAGAACATCAGGCACTGGGGAGAAATGTTTCCAAGGTGCCCATAGCAGGCAGAAACAGGGAAGAGGAAGGAAGAAGGTAGCAGTCATGAGCCTGTCTTCATTTCTTCTTTCACGTGCTCCTCAAAGTGTGAGACCCAGAGTGACCCCTGGGTTTGTTGGCCCCAAGGACAACTCTGAAAGGAACTACAGTTTTTCTTGTTTCTAATGCTCCCCCAGAATAATGAGCAGGATTTTCTCATCCTGATAAGAAACAAACAGGGCAAATATTTTTAGTAAATAATCTACAGTGAATACTGTATCTGCTTTCTGATTGGCAACCTAAAGCCATCATTATGGTTTGATTTGTTTAGGCCTGTCTGCTTTTAAAGTGTTTTTATACATTTGTCTATCACACACTTTCTCTCTTCTGCTTACTCAGTTGTCCACTCCTCTCATGTCATTTCTCATTTGCTTATTACTGGCAAGTCCCTGAGTGATGCCCTGGGGGCACACCACAAACAGAACTATGACGTAGTCCCTACAGTCAAAACGACAGCAGCATTTCCTAAGTGGGGCACATGACAAAGCCCAAGCCAGTCAGCACATCCCATACTCCTGGCTACAGTGATTGGCTCACAGATGGCAGGGGTCCAAAGACATCCATTCAGAGAGCCCAAGGGGAAGGAAGCTCTTCTCTTTCTCTCTGTATCCATAGCATGTGGAAGAGCCTGTGACATGTAGTGAGCCCTCAATAAATATTTTTTTTTAAGATTTATTTACTTGAGAGAGACAGTGTGTGAGGGGAAGGAAGGTCAGAGGGAGAGGAGGGACAGAGCGACAGAGGGAGATGGAGAGAGAGAATCCCCAAGGTGACTCCCTGACGGGGGGGGGGGGGGGGGGGGGCGGGGTCTCGATCCCAGGACCTTGAGATCATGGCCTGAGCCCAAACCAAGAGTTGGAGGCTTAGCCAACTGAGCCCCCGCCCCAGGCGCCCTTCAATAAATATTTTTTGAATTATTTAATTCTATGATTTTCTTTTCTGTTGTGCCAGGAATCTGAGAGGACAGAGGCTAGCGCTGCCATCTTGCCACCACAGGCAGCCTGAGACTGAGCCAACAGAGCACAAGCCACACAGAGAGGCGAGATTATATGAGTACATCTGTGAGCCCTGATCTTGCCATGCCTGATGTCAGAGCTGCCCTTGGCCTTCTCTGTTACATGAGCCAATACAGTTCTGTTTTGCTTACTCCATGTTTGGTTGGGCTTATGTCACTGTTTACTGACCAAGTCCTAAATGAATAAATGAAAAGATCATGCTCCAGCCTTCAACTGGAGCATTTCAGCCCCTTGGAAAGGGACTATGGAGCGCAGGCACAGGGATCGGAGTGTGATGGAGGGCTTTTCACGAGGATGTGCTGGTGCCGGTGGGGGAGGAGTGATGGCAGCAGGTGCAGAGAGTGCACTGGCAATGGTGATGATGCTTGTAATAACGCTGCTGAACCTGCTGATGTGGGTGATGCTGTTCCTGGTGGTAATGGTGGTGGGGCAGGGATGGCCGCGGTGGTGGGGCAGGGTTGGCCGCAGTGGTGGGGCTGGGTTGGCCGCGGTGGTGGGGCAGGGTTGGCCGTGGTGGTGGCCATTAGCACATTAAAAGTGACTTTCCTCCTGTCTCCTCCAACACTCACCACCAGCATAAACTGACCTTACAGCTGCTTCCAGAATAAGAAATCTTAGGTCTGAAAGAAACCTCAAAAAGTATCCAGTCCAGCCTCCTGCTTGAAGGCAGGCAAAGTAATTGTCTTCACTTTACAGATGAAACCACTAACACTCAGCATCTTTGAATGATTTTCTCAAAGCCTTCCCCGTGAGCCAGGTACACGGCTTGCACCGGCAGACAGATCTGCCCACTTCATCCCCAGCTTTCATTCCCATCTACCTGCAGTGTAGACTCCACAGCAATGGTTCTCATTCCTGAGCATTAAGTAAAATGGGGCTTTCCATATCAAAGCCTCAGCCTCATTCCTGGTTGCCTGAATCAGCCTCTGGGGGTGGGGTCTGTTATAAGCTGAACTGGGTCCCCCCAATATTCCTATGTTGAAGTTCTAACCCTCAGTATCTCAGAATGTGACTATATTTGGAGATGGATCTTTAAAGAGGTAATTAAGTTAAAATGAGGTCTTTAGGATGGACCCTAATCCAATCTGACTGGTGTCCTTATAAGAAGAGGAAATTTAGACACAGTTACAAAGAGAAGATGATGTGAAGACACAAGGAAAGATGGCTAACTACAAACCAAGGAGAGGCCCCAGAAGGAACCAACCCTATTGACAATTTGATCTTGAACTTCTAGCCTCCAAAACCATAATAAATAAATTTTTGTTTGCTTAGTCTGTGGTACTTTGTGGCAACCCTAGGAAACTAATATAGGGTCGGTGCGTTAGTATTTCTTAAATCTCCCCAGTTTATTCTAACAGTCAGTGTCAAGAATAATTGCCTTATAAGGTAAACTTACACTCCCCAGCCCTCATTCAAGACACTGGCCCACACTTTACTTGTCCAACCACAGATCCAGCTTCCCTATAAAAGTCCCCCACCTCAGTCAGGACCTTCACTGCACCATCTCTTAAGAAGGCCATGCTAGTTCTTGGCACCACTCACTTGCTCCTGCTAGCTATTCCCCAATCCCAAAGTCTTCACCCCTCCTTTCCCCCCAAACCACATGCAATTCAAACTTTCATCAAGCATTTACTAGGCAAGGTGTTATGATGCTTAACCAAGTAACATATTTTAAAGAAGGGACTTTCAGGGACCTTTGCTCCTAAACAATGTGGGGAGGAGTGGAGAGGCGGGATTTCAGCTTCACACCACACCTCTCAAGTTACACCAACCGGGAACCCATCTAAACCACCACCTATTAAAAGCTTGACTCTAAGTTCTCAGAGAGCTAAAGCAGGAATTTCTTTTCTTTTTAAGATTTTGTTTAGTTTTAAAGATTTCATTTACTTATTTATTAGAGAGAGAGAGAGAATGTGAGAGGTGGGTGGGGGGAGGGACAAGCAGACTCCGTGCTGAGCATGGAGCTCAATCCCAGGACCCTGAGATCATGACCTGAGCTGTAACCAAGAGTCAGATCAGATGCTTGACCAACCAAGCCACCCAGGTGCCCCTAAAGATTTTATTTTTAAGTAATCTCTTACCCCCAATGTGGGGCTTGAACTTACAACCCTGAGATCAAGAGTCGCATGCTCTATGGACTGAGCCAGCCAGGTGTCCCTAGAGTAGGAATTTCCACCATGAGAGAGGAAGGGAGCAAGTCCTCTGTTCAGGAGAAGCACCATGAAAGAGTTGGGAAATTCCCCTTGGCAATCTTTGAGCTATGTTCTCAGTTCTTATGCCCAATTTTCTTTGTTCCAGATTGCCCTGCTACTCTACCAACTAATGTCAGTGAGAAGGGATGACCCTTAACAGTGAAGAGCCCAAGCTTGGCACTTGGAAGAACCCAGCTCAAATCCCAGCTCCTTCACTTCCTAGCTATCCAGGAGAGTGTCCTAAACTCGGGAATATCCAGGAGAGAGTACTGGGTGTTCTTTTGGTGTTGAACACCAGCGTTGGACTTGACTTTCTACTGACCAGGCAATTTTCATCTCTGTAGGGACAGAGGTTAACTTGTAAATTTTGGTCCAGGAAAGATGCAAATAATTTAACTCTGGGGGAAGAATTAGCTCCACGGGTTATGGTTTATGGCCCTGTTGGACATTAACCACCTTTCTATCTAATCCAGTAATCTTTCTGTATTAATTTCCAGCTGCTGTAACAAGGTACCACATCTTAGGGCTTAAAACAACATAAATTTATCTTAGTTCTAGAAGTCAGAAGTCCAAAATCAGTCTCATTGGGCTGAAATCAAGTGTCAGCCAGGTTCTCCTGGGGGCTCTAGAAGATGTGTTTCCTTGCCTTGTCCAGCCTCAAGTGTCCCCCACATTCTATAGCTTGTGGCCTCTTCCTCCCTCTGCAAAGCACATCGCTCTAGCCTTCACTTCCCTCTTCTGTCTGTCACTCTGATACTCCCACCTCCTTTGTATGAGGACACTTGTGAGGATACCGGACTACCCAGATAATCCAGAATAATCTCCCCATCTCAAAATCCACAACTTAATTACATCTGCAAAGTCCCTTTTACATATTCATAAGTTCCAGCATCGGGACGTGGGCATCTTTGGAGAGTGGAGGGGCATCATCCAGGCTACCACACCTTTCTTAGATTTCTTGGTTAAATCACCTGCATTAACCTAAATTCTCGAATGCTCTTTGGGTAAACTTTAACATCGTACCAGTTCTCTCACTAATTAATGACTTAAATAAAATCTTTGACATGACGCAATTTGTACTTGAATTTAACTTAATTAATTTAATACTTACCGGAGGGTCATGAGGCGCATTTTTAAAAATTAGACTCAGCAGAGCTCTGTGACCCTAGGCAAGTCACTCAACCTCTCCAAATTTTACATCCCTGTAAGCAAGGATGAAATAAATAATATTACTTAACTTTGGGGGTTGCTGCAGTAGGGAACAAAGGAGACAACGTATGAAAAGCAATGGGTTCAGTGCCTTGTGCATCGTAAGACCTTAATAAATGTTAGATGCTGATAAGAACCGAGACCAGTGCTCTGGCCCTCTGTATCTCCACTTCCCTAAAACTCAAGTGCTGTGCTTAGCACTCCCCATTTGCCTCTGCAGCTCTAACTTTAGCACCAGAGTCATCAAACATCAGGTACTTTCAGTTTGCAAAAAGGCACCCTCTCCAGGTGAAAAAGGCAATGCAACTCCAGCCAGAACACCTGGCTTGGCAAAGGGGTGCAGGCTGGTTTTCAGTCTCCGCCTGCCCTTCTCCAGCTGGGTCCCTCTGCCGCACACACAAACTGTGCACACCGCGTGGGGAGTCTCTATGATTTTAAAACTAATTGATCCTGGTGATGATCATAGGAAGCACTCACCATTGTTCTCTAGACAGAAGCCAAGTGATGTAATAATCCTCTGAGCAGAAAGGCAGGACTTGTCTTCGTATTGATTTCATGCCAAAACCTGGCAAATTGCATCAGGCAATTGCTAGGAAACTTATTAGCATCGATACTACTATTCTTGCACAAGTACACACACATACCCAAACTAAACTGAACTAAACTACATCTGCCCAGAACAATGGACAGTCCTCATTCAACAGACTAACTACCAACATTTCCTCCTGTGGCATATATAATGATGGATGAAACTCTCCACCCAAACTTAGTAACCTACAGCTACAGACACACTGACCACAGAGCTGCTTGCACTCAGTGTCATGTTTACATCGTCAATACGTAAATCTACTATGTAAATATGTATCCTCACTCTATTCCTTAAAAAAGAAAAAAAATAACTAACGGTGCTTAAACTGAGCAAAGCAGCCGGCCCACTCGATGTGCTGCATTTAGATGACCGGGTCGCTGGTTAGAAATGCAGAGTCTCAGGACCCCCAGACCTGCTGCCTCAGAAGCTGCATTTTCACAAGAGCCCCAGGCAATTCAAATGCACATCCAAGCTAGAGAAGCTCTGCACTAGGAACTTCTGAGTGAAAGTGGTGGGTGGTAATATCCTTCTGAATAGCCATCCCTCTTTGTAAGGAAAAATCACAGCATTGCTACAAACCAGCAGGGATGTCAGGGAAGGGAAGTCTCGGAATCATTTTTTTCTACAAACATTCATTAGGGCCTGTTGTGTGCCCGATACTATTCTAGGTGCCGAGATACAGCAATAAAAAAATAGGAAAAAAAGTCCCAGTGCTGGAGGATCAAATGAATAGTCTATACATGTCAAGTGGTGATAAACACTATGAAGCAAAATACAAATGGGATAGGGAGGGTGAAATTTTTGCACTTTAAAACAATTTTTTTAATCTTTGTTTTCACATTTTTCTCTTTTGCTTCCAAAAGGAAAGGAGAGCGTAGCTCCGCAATTTTTGCCCTTTTACATAGTATGGATACTTGTGCAAAGATCCAAAGGAAACAAAGAGGCAAGCTTTGCAAATATTTCCTGGAATAGCATGACAGGTAAAGGGAACAGCACCTGCAAAGCCCCAGGAAGGAGAAATTATAGCATGTGCGTATGTGGATGAGAGTGATCTATAGATGACTGCCTGAGGGAGAGGGAAGAATTGCTGATGAAGCTCTCATAGGCGGAAGAGGAAATGGAGCACACAAGAGAGGCCAGCCCCACAGAGGAGCATGGAGAGTCGGCCCAATAATCCTGGGGAAGGTAGAACATATGTGCCCAACATGAGTAAGCTGGTAAATAAAGTGGCAGAGCTCCCACAGGTTTCCTCTAGTGTTTACGATTTTTCCTTGAACTAGGAATCAAGTTTGTGAGTTGAGAGAGAGAAGGAGAATACTGGAAGTATAAGAATAAGGCTTGGAATTGTGTAGAAGACAGAGTGAACCTACCAGGGAAGCGTGGGCTCGTTCAGCAGCACTGATCCCTCCTGGTGACACATTAGCATCCTCTTGTCTTTCTCCAGCCACATTCACCTTCAAGTCTGGAGACGAGGAGAGAGTGGGCGGTTGGCAGTGAAGGAAGGGATGGCAAGCACCCTCTTGACTCTTTGAACCTGCAACCAGAAATGCTTAGCGTTGGAATTTCCCTGGGGAAGGGGGCTCCTGGATGCAGGAGCCAAGCTTCAGGGCCCATCTGAGTTCAAATCCTGACTCTGCCACTTACTACTCTGCATCCTGGGGCACGTCTTCTCACTTCTCTGAGTCTGCACCCCCTTATCTTCAAGCTTCACTCATGCTATCCCCTCTGCCCGGGCACTTCCTCTCCCTTTTCCAAGCCAAGGAAATGGTCTGGTCTGCTGCTTGAAGATACACACTTTAAATACTCAGGTAACTGACTGTGTTCATGCATTCATTCACTTATTCAATCATTCATTCAAGAAATACTAATAGCTGGGCACCTGGGTGGCTCAGTTGGTTGAGCGACTGCCTTCGGCTCAGGTCATGATCCTGGAGTCCCGGGATCGAGTCCCGCATCGGGCTCCCTGCTCGGCGGGGAGTCTGCTTCTCCCTCTGACCCTCCTCCCTCTCTTGCTATCTGTCTCTCATTCTCTCTCTCTCAAATAAATAAAATAAATAAAATCTTTAAAATGGAGATGGTAAGAGGGCGCCTGGGTGGCTCAGTTGGTTGAGCGACTGCCTTCGGATCGGGTCATGATCCTGGAGTCCCGGGATCGAGTCCCGCATCGGGCTCCCTGCTCGGCGGGGAGTCTGCTTCTCCCTCTGACCCTCCTCCCTCTCATGCTCTCTGTCTCTCATTCTCTCTGTCTCAAATAAATAAATAAAATCTTTAAAAAAAAAAAAAAAGAAAAGAAAAGAAATACTAATAGCTAGTATTAGGAGAACAAATGGATGAACTCATTTTCAAATACAAGTTCTACCACTTGAAACAGACAGAAATAGCCGTATCAGAAAGTCTCTGAGGGCTCCAAGGCTCAGTTTTCTCTTCTGCAAAACAGAAACATTAACAGAATCTTCCTCATAGGGCTGTGTGAGAAATAAGTGAAATAACCAAGCTAACAAAGACACTTAGAGCAATGCCTGGCACATGGTAAAAACTCAGTAAGCGTTGGTCATCATTGGTCACAAATACATTCTGGTGGTGCTGGGGATACAAACATGAAGTGGGTCACCTGTGTTTCACACACCTCACACTGTAGCAAGGGAGACAGCATCGAAACCGATACATTATAATTGAGACGCAATTGGGTAAGAGCCATGCCAAAGACATTACATGTCAGTTACTACTGACATGTAATGAAGCAAAAGATTTCATTGCACCTTGGGAAGAAGAGAAGTCTTCCTGGGGTGATATTTGGAACAGTCTTCCAATGACCAGATGTTTGCCAGATGGAGAAGGAGAAGGGCATCCCAAGTTGAAGGAACAACATGGCCCCGTGGAAGGACACAGTGTGCCCAGGAAGCTGTGAGGAGCCACAGTCATTGGAACGGAGGGGACATGGAAAAGGAGAACACGAGGTGAAGCTTAAGAGGCAAAGGGTCCCATGTGGGGAGGACCAAGTTTGCCATTCCAATGTGATCTTATAAGCAATGGGCAACTGCATTGAGGTTTTTAGGCAGAAGAACAAGATCGGGCTCTTGGCATCAGACTGGAACATAGATGAGAGGAGGAGCAAGACTGAGGGTGGAGAGAGCATCTAGGAAGCTGTTGTAATAAATGCCGGTGAGACAGGGTAAGAACCTGAACAAGGACACTGACAGAGGGCATAGAAAGGAAGCTAAGGATGGGAGAGACCATTCAGAAGAAAAAGCCATAGGACTCAGGAATGTGCTGGGCTGGATATGGGGTAGGAAGATGAGGGAGTCATTCACCATCAGCCTATTAAATTCATGCACTTAGGGTTGCTGAAGCAGAGTTTAAAAACGTTTTAACAAGTGAGGCCTCCAAGTCCAGGGCAGCTCAACAGTTACTTTGGAGCATAGCTTCTTTGACTCTGATGCACACTTGAGCATTTCTTGGTAATCATGTAACAGTAAAGCAAATAGCATGCACTGCCCTCAGAAAAGACTATACAACCATGTACCTATAATGCAAATATAATATTGCTATAATATTAACCATTATGCAATGTGTGTGCTGCAGGAGATAAGAAACAAAGAATATAAGACTTAGCTGAGGGAAAGATCTACTTCATGGAGGCTCTCATCCATGAGTACATTTTCGAAGGAGAGAGATGGGCACTCCAAGAGGGAGGAAATGCCTGAGCTGAGCAGGTGAGCAGGAAAGCATTTCTCAAGCATCCTGTGAGATGCTGCAGAACAAAAGGACCCATGGTCAAAAACAACGTAGAGATGCAACCTCCCATCACAGCACGTCTCCTTGGACATTCACAACCGTCTCAATATATTAAAGATCCTGTGAAACCCCACAGTTAAAAATAATTTGTCTAGGGGCACCTGGGTGGCTCAGTCAGTTAAGCGTCCGACTCTTGGTTTTCAGCTCAGGTCATGATCTCGCGGTCGTGGGATCGAGCCCCCATTTGGGCTCCGTGCTCAGTGCCAAGCCTGCTTGAGATTCTCGTTCCCTCCTGCTCTGCTCCTCCCCCTACTCTCTCTCTCTCTAAAAATAAATAAAATCTTTAAAAAAATTATTTGTCAGGTGCCTGGGTGGCTCAGTCATTGGGCATCTGCCTTCGGCTCAGTTCATGATCCCAGGGTCCTGGGACCGAGTCCAGCATCAGGCTCCCTGCTCAGCAGGAAGCCTGCTTCTCCCTCTCCCACTCCCCCTGCTTGTTTTCCCTCTCTCGCTGTGTCTCTCTCTCTGTCAGATAAATAAATAAAATCTTTTAAAAAAAATTATTTGTCTAGTGAAAAAAGCAAGTCAGTGGTTATAAGGGACATGCTGCAGGGAGAGGAAAGGGCACAAGGAAACATTTGTCACGTAATGGACATGTTCTATATCTTGACTGGGATGGTAGATTACGTGGATGTATATATATGTCAAACTCATTGACCTGTACACATAAAATGCATATATTTTGGGGCACCTGGGTGGCTCAGTTGGTTAAGCGTCCGCCTTCAGCTCGGGTCATGATCCCGGGGTCCTGGGATCGAACCCCACATCGGGCTCTGTGCTCGGTGGGGAGCCTGCTTCTCCCTCTCCCACTGCCTGCCTGTCTGCCTACTTGTGCTCTCTCTCTCCCTCTGTCAAATAAATAAATAAAATCTTTAAAAAAATGCATATATTTTGCTGTACATCTTGTGTGTAAATTATATTTCATTTAACTTGATTAAAAACTATAATAATCTGTTGGGTTTGTTTTGTTTTGTGATTTTTTTTTACTTCCGAGAACTTTTTAATTGTTTTCATTAGTATTCCCTCAAAAGGCCTGTTTCTTTGAACACCATCTGGAGAAACACCGGTGTGTTAGTTTCCTATGGCTTTTGTTACAAATTACCACAAACTTGGTGGTTTAAAACAACATAAATTGATTATCTTGCAGTTCTAGAGGTCACAAGTCTGAAATGGGTCTTGCTGGACTAAAATCTCGGTGTTCCCAGGGCTGCGTTGGTTCTGGAGGCTCTGGGGAGGGAAGGATCGGTTTCCTTGCCTTTTCCAGCTTCCAGAGGCTCCTGCATTTCCTGCCTCAGGGCCCCTCTTAGCTTCATCTTCAAAGTCAGCAACCACATCACTCCAACCTCTCACTTCCCCAGCTCTCCTTCTCTGACTTCTGTCTCCCTCTCTCACTCACAAGGACTCCTGTGATTACCCTGGGCCCCTCACATCATCCAGGATTACGTCTTCAACTCAAACTACTTAATTGGGTCTCATCTGTAAAGTTTTCCTCACAGGTTCCAGGCATTAGGACATCTCGAGTCGGGGTGGGGGGTGGGGGAGACATTATTCTGCTTAACACAGCCAGTTTTTAGTGTAAAATCGGAGGAGTGCACAATAAGCCTGTAAATGAAGTTTGAGGCCAGGTCAGGCTAAAGGATTTGGTAAGCAACAGGCAGAATTTCTTTACCAGTACATATACATGTTTTAAAATATGAAAGCTATCATAGGGTATAAAAAATTTTTTTTCAAATCCCCAGCCATCCAGTCTCCCTCTCTGTGACCAAAAATGTTATTTACCACTTTCTTATATATTATTCCAGAAGCAATCCATACCTACATAATTCTTCTACACAAATGGTAGCATAGTATAAAAATTGTCCCAGTAACTTTCTAGTTGTCCCTTGACAATATAAGTTGGATATCATACCAGAGCAGAACAAAGAGAGCTTCTTTTTTTAAGTTTATTTATTAATTTTTTTAGTAATCTCAAATGCACAACCCCAAGATCAAGAGTCACATGCTCCACCGACTGAGCCAGCCAGGTGACCCCAAAGAGAGCTTCTTTATTCATTTCAAATGGATAGATAGCATTTAATTGTATAGACCAGTGATTCTCAACATGCTTGTTCATTAGAATGGCCTGGGGAGATTTTGAAAGATCCCCAGGAGTTCCAGCTATCCGCTCTCTGCAATAAACTGCCTCAGAAGTTAAGAAGCATAAAACAATGACCATTTTATTATGCTCACAATTTGGAGGGCCAAGAATTCTGGCAGGACACCATGGGGACAGCTTGTCTCTGCTCCACAGTGACTGGGGGCGGGGGGGTGGCCTCGGTGGGGTGGTCTGGATGGCTGGGAGATGGCAGGAATGGTTTGATTGGAGCCATGGATCAGGGGCTTTGATTCGGACATCAGCTGGAATCCTTGGTTACTGTCCACATCGTATTTGCAGAGGCTAAAATATGCAAAAATGCTTCCCGACTCATATGCCTAGGGCCTGGGCTGGGGCTGAATAAAGCACTCTCTCTCTCTCTTTCCCTCCAACCCACCCCCCTTCATGAAGCTAACTTGGGTCTCCTCACAGTATGGTGGCCTCAGGATCGTCAGACTTCTTACATAGCAGCGGGCTCATCCCAGAGCTTAAGTTCCGAGAGGCCAATACAGAAGCTACAAAGCTTCTTATAACTCAGCCTTGAAGGTCTCAGACTATCTATTTGATCTCCTTCTATTGGTCAAGCAAGTCCCTAAACAAGAGAC